GTTTGACTATTCTAGGTACTTCATGTAAGTAGACTCATATAATATCTATACTTTTGTGATTGACTTATTCAATTAGCATAATGTCTTTAAAGTCCATCCATATTGTAGTATGTGTCATAATTTTATTCCTTTTTAAGGCTGAATAATATTCCTTTGTATGTATGTACCACATTTTGTTTATTCATTCATCCATTGGTGGACCCTTAGGTTGCTAATAATATGATTATTTTCAGTAACAGTATTGTTGGATTGATTCTCTATAGTTAGAACTCCCAAAGCTGGGAGGAACAGGTTGAAGTGAGGGAAGATACCAGTTTGTGTGTTGAGGTCATCTCTCTGCGTTTTGGTTGCAGGACATATTTTGATTGGAGTCTGACAAATAATGGAGCCCATTCTGATTGGAGCCCATATAGAGGGTCCAGGTCTGGCAGAACTCCAGGGGGAAATGTATTGCTTCTTAGCCTAAGCAAAGATTAGGCTTTTCCCCAGGAATAGACTGCTTTTCAGTGCCTGTAGCTTACCAGGTTTGCCTTTCCTCCTGCCCTCTTCTGCTCTTACTGGACTCTTGCTGTTGTGACATACCTAGACTCTTAATTTGTTTTACACAGGTCAGGGCCTGAGGGGGAATTGTTGTACGACCGTACAATGAACGGCCAGCTGTGTGCCAACTGGCTTGTAGGATTTGTACACACATGTGTGTGTACACGTATACATATATATGTGTGTGTTCATATATATGCATGTGTATATGCACACACATATCCTGTCATTGACAGTTGACACAATATAGAAGCTGCATGCTCTCCTTTGGCTTCCCCTGAACCAAGTCCACCACTAAAATGTGTACATTGGCAACAGGGGGTCCCAGGATGATGGGAGAGGTCTCCAAGGGGATTGAAGCACAAGAATCTTAGCATGGTGGTCTTGACAGCTTGGCTAGTCTCTTGCAGTTTCTACCAAAATTCTGAAGAGAGTACTCTGCAGCTCTGACTTCTTTGCCCATCTTCAGGCCTGAGTTTGTCCAAGAGCTCAGGCTTCTGCATCCTTCACTTATGCTGGACATAGTGAGTGGAGGTCGAGGAGAGGCAGCCCCTCCAAACTCCTGGATCCCTCTGTGTGGACTCTCTTGTTTGTTTATGGGGGTTAAAGGACAGTCTGTACTGATTTGTCCCCAGTCCCTCTCTGTGCTTAAGGGGACTTCAGTGTCATTGGGGTTTTTTGCCCCATTGTGTCAGGGATACAGGGGCACATCCCCTCGGTGCACTCCTCCACCCATGTTGATCTACCTGCATGTTTCCTGTTCCATACCTTCATTGTCTTATACCAGTTATCTTTCAGAAGCTATTCAGGATGATTTTATGTTGTCAATATAATGTGAGTGAACTAATTCTATATTAAGTTAATGAAGATCACACTTATTATTCAGTTCTAGTTGTATAAATACTTATGATTAACGAATTATGGTCATGCTTTGTGAAGGCTGCTACAGAAGAGGATCTAAAAATAAACCTTAAAAATCTATTCTAGAGAAACATAGATTAAATATGAACGACAGTAGGGGGCACTTGTATGACAGTGGAGTAAAGACAAGCACAAGTGTGTTCAGTTTGATTTTTGAACTTTAACTTGTTCCTTGGAAAGTTAATATTTTTTTCTTAGGCAGTCCTCTTTAGGTAAAACCGACAGTTGAATTTTAAAGATAAAGATATTTGGCATGATCAACAAGTTATATTTACCCTTTGTTGACTAAAAATGGACTTTCTTCAAAGTTTGTTAAGTTTATTTTCTTCCTTTCATATACTCTTTGGCAAGCAAGAATTACTAGGTTAAAATTATATTATTTCATTCAACTATAACGACATATAAAGCTTTAAAAATTTGTCTGAAACAATCTATCGGAAGCCTCAATTTCTGTATCAACAAATTTGTGCTACTCTAGATTATGCGCTTACCGGTCATTCAAGGATCTTGTTTAAACGCTTTCTCCTGCAAAAACAATGAGTGAAAACAAACAAAAAACCAAAGTAAATGTACTCATGTGTATTTAAATAGAGGTACCAACAAACACTTGAAAAATGGCTAAGAGGGTTGAACACTTTGCACTTCATTTTGTAGCTGGTGTTAGGTGAACAAAGATTAGTCTTAATTGAATAATGATGTCGAATGGTCCGAAAGTCCCAGTCTTTGTGAGCTCTCTCTCTCCTGGATTCCCGAGGAGCAGCTTTGATGAGGAAAGTGTCGTTTTCAAGCTGGCCCCTGCACAAACTACATAATTATAGTTATTCCATTTTCCACACATACGGTATAGCTGGCTCTTGACCCCTGAAAATGGAGCAGAGGCATGCTGAATGCTTCAGGCTCATAGATAAATCCTGAAACTAATTTTAACCCATTGTTTCATCATTTACTCCTACTTTAAGTACCAAAGATGCTTATAGGAGGAAAAGTGAACAGTGAACAGATTCTTCCCCCTTGTTTGCTCTTTTCCTGCCTTTTTAATGTTATCTCCCATTATTCCTTACAGTTGGAATGAACTAGTGTGGGCCCCCCCCGCCCCCCATATATGCCCTGTGTTTTCATGCCTTTGCTTATGCTTTCTTCTACCTGGATTTTCCTTTCATTTCCATATCTTACTTGTCCTTCCACATCCATCTCTCATGTCACTTTTTTTTGGTGCAACATTTCCTGGTCCCTTCAGGTACAAGTCATATCTTTCTAAACTTACATAATATTATTGAAAGAAATTCACTTAAAAGTAATAGCAATAGTAACAACTGACAACTGACATTCATACGGCCTTTTACAGAATACTTTTGCATGTATTAGCTCTTTTGTGCCTCACAGGTAGTTATTTTGCTTGACAGCCCTGGAAACTAAGGCTCAAGGAGGTAAGGTGACTTGCCTGAGGTCACACATAGCTGGAACTGAGTCTAAATATTGTGACCTCAAACGCAATGTTCTTTCTGTCAAAGAATGCTATCTGCTGATTCTTATCACTTGCTGCTATGTGTTGCAGTTACTTCTGTAAATGTCATGCCTGATGCACTGCTTTGTGCTGTCCTTAAAGGAAGGGTTAATGCCTTGTTGTTTGTGGCCCTCATAATCCCATAGCACAGAGTACTGCATGTAATAAGGCATCGATAAACATTTGAAAGGCTGATGATGTGTTGGGGAGATGTTGATGAATGCATGTACCTGGCACAGTGCCTGGCACATAGATGCCTAATAAATATTTGTTGAATTTAATTGTAAAATGAATCAAAGGCCATAGTTAATAAGAGCGTATATGGCACTTACCAGGTGCCACACACTTTTATAATTGCTTTGCCTGATACCAAGTAATTTAATCCTCACAACAATAAAATGAGGTGGGTACTGCTATTTCCATTTTACACTTGATGAAACTGAGCAACGGGAAGGCTAAGTGATGTGCCGGGGTCACACAGGTGGTAAGCAGTAGAGCTGGGCTTTACACTGACGGGCGGTCGGCCCTAGAATCCGCACGTACTCTAAAGCATCATGCCACAATCAGTTGTTCGGGATATTTTTACACTGTTAAGTTCCTCCTGAACTCCTTTCTGTCTTGGGTGTGTCTCAAATAGAGCAAGCAGAAGCAGCACAGCTTATGAATCGAGCAGTGGTTCTCAAACTTTAGCCTACATCAGAACCACCCGGAGGGCTTGTTAAGCCATAGGTTGCCGGGCCCCACCCCCAGCTTCTGATTCAGTAAGTCTGGGGTGGGGCTTGAGAATTTATATTTCTAACAAGTTCCCAGGAGATGCTGCCGGTGTGGGACCACTTGGGTAGAGTGTAGGGGTTGAGAGCATGGACTCTTGAAGTTAAGCTACCAGGGTTTGAATCTTAACTCTGCTGTTTACCATCAGTCCTCATCTGTAAAGTGTCTGCACTGATAGCACCTACATGGTAGGATTCTCATGGAGAGCGAACGAAATAATAACATGTAAAGTGCTTAGAATGGTGCTTGGTTCGTAGTAAACGTGCATTGTTAAATACAGTAATGGTGATAAGACATGGTTCCTGCCTTTGTAGAGTTTGCGGTCTAATGACATACAGACTTAAACCTAATAAATGATAAAATGATGTGAAATTAGGTATTAGTTCACGAGGTTCTGACTGTCAAGGGCCTTAGAGGTGAAGTGTGTGTATGCTGTGGGGCTGGAGAAGCAGTGAGGGAACAGGAGGAAGAGAGGTACCCGGGACGAGGAGGTAATGGAAAATTACACAGAATTGAGGGAGGTTGGGGCGGTCAGTGGTTTCCGTTTTACAACCAGAGAATTGGGGGTGGGGGTGTTGGAGAGAGAGACACAGAGAGAGAGAGACTGAGAGACACAGAAAGAGAGACTGAGACACAGAGAGACTGAGAGACACAGAGAAAGAGAGACTGAGAGACACAGAGAAAGACAGAGACACAGAGAAAGAGAGACTGAGAGACACAGAGAAAGAGAAACTGAGAGACACAGAGAAAGAGACTGAGAGACACAGAGAAAGAGAGACTGAGAGACACAGAGAAAGAGAGACTGAGAGATACAGAGAGAGACAGAGAGACACAGAGAAAGAGAGACTGAGAGACACAGAGAGAGACTGAGAGACACAGAGAGAGACAGAGAGACAGAGAAAGAGAGACTGAGAGACACAGAGAGAGACTGAGAGACACAAAGAGAGACTGAGAGACATAGAGAAAGAGAGACTGAGAGACACAGAGACAGACACAGAGAAAGAGAGACAGAGACACAGAGAGAGACTGAGAGACACAGAGAGAGACTGAGAGACACAGAGAAAGAGAGACTGAGAGACACAGAGAAAGAGAGACTGAGAGACACAGAGAGAGACAGAGAGACACAGAGAGAGACTGAGAGACACAGAGAAAGAGAGACTGAGAGACACAGAGAGAGACTGAGAGACACAGAGAAAGACTGGGAGACAGAGAAAGAAAGGCTGAGAGACATAGAGGCTGAGAGACACAGAGAAAGAGAGAGAGACACACAGAAAGAGACTGAGAGACAGAGAGAGGCTGAGAGACACAGAGACTGAGAGACACAGAGAAAGAGAGACTGAGAGACACAGAGAAAGAGACGGAGAGAGAAAGAGCTGCTTGCACTCTGTTGGCCAGAGGGAGAACTAACTCCTTTTCCCCTTTCTCTGCTTAGAGCTGGTAGCTGGTCTGAAGGTGAAGCTGCTGGCAGTTCGCTCTTTGTTGGGAACAGTGGCTAAGGAAGTGGTTTGCTACTGGCTTCTGGAACTGGGCTCTGCAGCCTTTATCCTCCACAGCTGATTCACATACTTTTGATTCTTGCTGAGAAAGGCAGTTGTTAGATTTGGAAGTTTTCAGATTCCAGCGCCAGCTGGACAGCTGACCCTCTGGTAATTGTTTCCCCAACTGCCAGCCCTCTGTTGCCTCATCTCCCTGGGCCCCTTCTTTTCGACTTTGAAGCCATATCCTATATTTAGTGAACTAGCCAGTTAGGGGTTGGAGGAGGATTGACGGGGAGTCTCTCCTCCCTCAGAATTCTGGGTGGATGGAGTATTTGGGCCTAGGAACAAGATGTATCCTGCTTAAAAACTTTAACCCCTTTGTCGGGCATGCTCAGGTGACAGCTTACAGTGCTAAGAATGTGCCTCTCTCTAGCTCATGAGTAAGGAAGGAGCAGTGTTTATTTTTGGGTGTCCTGAAGAAAATATTTGGGAGAAGGAGTGGGGAGAAGCCCAGACAGCTCCATTTATGGTTGAGCAATGCTTGGTATTCTACAGAGGGACCGTATGGGCCGCGGGGAAGAGCTTAGCAGTCTCGTTGTTCACCTCTTGCTCCCTCCATTCAGGGATGATCAGGGACACCGTATTAGCCATCACAGTGGGACAGGTGTTCCTTGGGCCGACACGAGCCTCACCCTCAAATCCCGGGCGTCTTCTGCTCCGCCAGCCTGCTGAATCACCACCCAGGAATGGCGGTAGCCAGGATGCCTCCTGCAGTGCCTGGAGCACTCTCGGCATGGTGCGCCATTGACTGGTCTTGGTCTCCTAGACACGGCCCGGGCCTCTCCAGGCCTGCTGGAGTGATAGGCTGGGTCTTAGCTCCCCCTCCAGCTTGTTCCACAAGGCGATGACCTACTTTTCAGAGACAACTAAGTGTTTGTGAGCAGAAGAAGGCGGTGACCTGAGTGAAGGTGAACCAGAGCTGCATTAAACAAACATTGGGAGTTACTTTTTTGTGTCTCGCATAGCAGGGCCCACCCACCTCAGTCCCAATGGAACGGCTGACCAGGCTGATGTGTGGGGGCCAAGTTCCAGAAGCTTATGAAGATAGGCAGCCACCCTTGAATGCTCGTTTCTTCCATCGATGTACTTTAGTGTAAGAGAGAGCCTTTTATAATGATTGTACACTTTGTCTTTTGGGTGATAGGCGAAGGCTTGAAAGGAAGTTGGGGCTCTTACAGTGAGTCAGCGCTATAAGCCAGCAGTCCCTTCTGGTGACAGTATTCTACTTCATTTGTAGCCCCTCTGAGAGGATTTGTATCTTTTTCTTTTGTACAGGCTGGGATAATAAGCTGGATGGGAGCCCAGATCTTTAGGGAACAAGTGAGTAGCTTGTTTAGGTTTTCCTGTCCTTGTGAGACAAGGTTTAGATTCAGTTTTTGCAAGTGAAAGGAAGTGAACTCACTTTTCTCTTCCCTGGATGTCACTTACCTTATTACCAGACCTCCAACTTCTGCTTCCCTGTTGAATATGATTATTATACTCGAGTTGTCATCCTTACAGTTGTAAGTTAGCACTGGGGGAAGGATCCAAGGCCCTGACATGAGATGGACAGTGACTCTTGTCCTATATCAGCTGGCTCTAGGGCCCTGGGGGAATTGCTAAACTTGCGATTGGGCCATTGCCTAAACTTTTCTTTTCAGCAACTCCACACACATGACAACTCCCAAATCGCCCTATTAATAAAAAGAAGAGTTACTGATGTTGTACCCAGAGATACAGATCAAATCTTAAAGTCCAGGAAGGAAGATGCTTAGGAGAAGAATTCAACCCTGCCACTCTCTCCCTGGAATTCCTCCTGATAACCTTAGAGGTGTCAGTCCCATTTGAAGAACTAGTTTACATATCAGAGCAGGGCTTGGAAGGCAGCATGGCATCAATGTTGGTCTTGTAGATGGCTAAGTTTCTTGGGGAAGAGATTTGAGGTGACCTGAAATTGCCCCCGCTCCTCCTAGGAATCCCAGAATCTGGTCACAACCTCCTTTCTTCCACTTTTCCCATCCCTTTATGCCCAGGAAGCCTGGTCTCTGCTTATTTCGTAGTCTCTCAGCCTCTTCGTGGTGTCATTGTCCTCCCATCTGTCCTACATGGCCACTCTTGCACTGACGTTCTCAGGTCTCTTTCTTTCTGCCACACCTTCCTGTCCTTCCCGGCAGAGCCGGACCCATGTTCACTTTCCCCACGGAGCTGCTGAGTTCTGCTGCATAGCATTGTGCTGACGGGCTCCTTCACAGGTTCATGAGCTCCAGCCATAGCTTGACTCTCAACCCTGCCCTGAAATCTCTCTGTTCTCTCCTGGGTGACTCCCATTCCTTTTCCTTTACAGCAGCTATTCCAGACTTGCACCACTCTCCTTCAACTTGCTGCTCCACCCCACCTTGTAAACTCTCAGCAAGCCATTTAGCCTTTTACTGTCCACAGCTCTGCCTCTCAGCTTATCTGTAATCTTCCCCAGTCCTCACCACATTCCGTCTTGTTTCAGAGGCAGTCCTCTGGGCATGTACATAGTTTGTATTCTTAGTGTCTCCCCACCTAATGACTCTTCATAAGTTTTCTCCATCCTAAGGAAGAAACATCTTTTAAGCTGTCTCTTCTTCGACCTAACTCTGCTTTTTATTTTTTTAAGCCCCTAAACCTCTTTAATAGCCTTTCTTATATTCCTTTAGTCATCTTGACCCACGATAGCATGGCTTTTGTGCTCGTCGGCCCAGCTGAAATCGCTCTCACTTACGATGACCTACCTTCAGAATTCACTGTTTCTTTTCAGTTCTCATGTTTGACCTTGTTACAGCTTTTTTTTTTTAAATTTATTTATTTATATTTATTTTGTCTGCACCAGATCTTAGTTGTGGTGCTCGGGATCTTCGTTGAGGCGTGCATGCAGAATCTAGTTCCCCAAGTAGGGATCGAACATGGGCCCACTGCATTGGGAGCCTGGAGTCTTACCCACTGGACCACCAGGGAAGTCCCTTGTCACAGCTTTTGACACTATATTTGGGCCTCTTTTTTTCCCTTCATTGTGTGCTCTCCCTGGACGAGTTTACCTACTCTGGTGATTTCATTTATCAACATTGTCTACGTGTACAGTGATGACTCTCAAATCAAAATCCCTGAATATGAATTTTCCCCTGAGGTCCAGAATTGTATTCCAGATGACTATTGCCTTTTTCCACTTTGAAGTCTATAGAAGTTCTAAGGTAATGTATCCAAAACCAAGTTTATCCTCATCCCCCTTTTTTTCCCTGCCCAAACCTGCTTCGCTTCCTATTGATATATAAACTATCTCAGATACCAGTATCGCTCTCTACCTGTTTGCCCAAGCTGGGAAATTCAGGTTTGTTTGTTTTTTTGTCTTCCTTCGTTCTCCACATCTGACACTAAGTTCTATTCGTTCTAGTGCAGAAACATCTCCACATCCATCCTTTCCCTCCCATCCATCCTGACTGGACCCACTGCCCTATTTTATTTTATTTTCATTTTTTAACATCGTTACTGGAGTATAATTGCTTTACAATGTTGTGTTAGTTTCTGCTGTATAACAAAGTGAATCAGCTATATGTATACATATATTCCCGTATCCCCTCCCTCTTGCGTCTCCCTCCCACTCTCCCTATCCCACCCCTCTAGGTGGTCACAAAGCACCGAGCTGATCTCCCTGTGCTATGCAGCTGCTTCCCACTAGCCATCCATTTTACATTTGGTAGTGTATATATGTCAGTGCTACTCTCCCACTTCATCCCAGCTTACCCTTCCCCCTCCCCGTGTCCTCAAGTCCATTCTCTACGTCTGCGTCTTTATTCCTGTCCTGCCCCTAGGTTATTCAGAACCTTTTTTTTTTTTTTAGATTCCATATATATGTGTTAGCGTACGGTATTTGTTTTTCTATTTCTGACTTACTTCACTCTGTATGACAGACTCTGGGTCCATCCACCTCACTACAAATAACTCAATTTCGTTTCTTTTAATGGCTGAGTAATATTCCATTGTATATATGTGCCACATCTTCTTTATCCATTCATCTGTTGATGGACACTTAGGTTGCTTTCATGTCCTGCCATTGCCCTGTTTTAGGCACTCATCATCTTTGGCTGTCAGTGATCATGCCGTAGCTCTTCTTAAAAACTCCAGTGCTCACTGCCTTCTGTTCTTACACAAGGTAAAGTTCAGACTTGGCTTGGGTATGATTCTCAGTTGTATCCCTTGTTTATGTTGTTTCCTGTGCCTTGGATGTTCTTTCCATTTTATCAGCTTCACAAACTCCTATTCTTGTTGTTAAGTAATCTTCATCCCAGCTAAGATAAACTAGCTTTTTATGATGTTCCAGCTTCTTTCCTTCTCTCCAGGAAAAATTTAACTTACCTCCTCATCTGAGTTTTCATGGTACTTTATACATCCCTTTGTGATAGTACCTATCGTCTTGTTTTACAGTTGTCTGTGTAATTGGCTCCCCTAGACCATGAACCATGAATTCACTGAGGGCAGACCGTGCCTTCTTCCTTTTTTTTTTTTTTGGTACTATAATAATTGGTTGAATTGTTGGGTTGGTTGAATTGTATACAAAGGTCTTGCTATCTCTAGATAAAGGATGTTTGGAAAGTCTAAAAGAGCTATGCTGCTGTTGGATATTAGCTGTGGTAGAATCTGCTCTACTCTTTTTATTTCACAAAATACCCTTGTTTATTGTATGAAAATTATAAAACAATAAACAAAACTATGAAATTAAACTCACCTAAAATCCCACCACTTTTGGATAACCACTGTAAGTATTTTGCTGTATTTTCCTTCAGACATTTTCTTCTGCAAATATATACATATAAATACACATTTTGTAAAAGTATACTATTTGTAACTTGTTTTCTTCACTTACTGTATGGTGAAAATCTTTCAGTGTCAAAAATATGTATTCTTATCATAGTTTACCTTGTTGTCAGTATTCCTGTGTGTGGTGCAGTGAGACTTGAGATGGCCTCCTAATTATTGGACTTTAAGTAATTTTGCATCATTTGATGTTGTAAACAGTGGGATGAATATATTTTGTGTGTGTGTGTATTTGCACATTTAACCACATTTCCTTTATATAAATTCCTAGGCGTGAAGTTGCTGTGTCAGAAGTTATTGGACACTTAAAAATTTTTTAGGTACATTTTGCTAAACCCCTCTCCATAAAAGTTGTACCATGGGGTTGAGTTTTTATACCTCATTGAGATTTTTTCTGCCTGTGGTAGGTTTTGTGTTTCTGTCAGAGGTTTCATCTACTGGAATGATTGAATTAAGGCTGTGTTTTAGGAAGACTGATCTAGCAGCATGTGCAACACGGATTGGGTGAGAAGGAGGGAAGTCCTTTTCTTTTTCTTTTGAAGGCTGTTTAAGCAATCCAGGTGAGAGGTAGTGAGAATTAGACAGGAGAGGTTGACTATTGAATAAAGGAGAAGGTGACTGAGAGGTATTTGGAAGAACCGATAGGACTTGATAGTGGCTTGAGCAAAGGATGGTGCCATTATTCAAAGGGGGAAATTCAAAGGAGGCATTGATTTGAGGAGGAAAGATGTGGATTCACTTTTAATAACTTGAGTTCTAGCTGCTGTGGCATGCTCGAGTGGAAATGCCCCACAGGCAGCAGGCACTGCAGAGCAGCAGTCAGGAGAGAGGCCGGGCTCAGTCTCCTCAGCCTGATCTTTAAAGCCCTCCATAATAACCTTCCCAGCATCCTCTCCAGCCACCTCCTCACATCGAAGCCCGACAAGACTGTCTTTCTGGAGCGTCTTCACTCACTGTGTCTGCTGTACAGATCTTACCCCTTGTCCATAACCCACCCCAAAGTCCTCTAGGAAACCTTCTCCGATCACCCCACTGGAAGTTAGTTCCTAGTTTCCTAAAATCTAGTGGTAATTTTTTAAAGTATCATTTATATTGTACTTTAACATCCTATTTGTACGTATGCTTTATTTTCTTCTGCAAGATTGGAAGCTCCTAGAGGTTGAGGACTATATTGTAAACTCCATTTTATCTCCAACATTGCCAGCTCTGTATTTGGCACGTAAGTGTCCCAAAACGTTTGGTGATTTATGGAGTAAGTGGAACCAGTTTTAATGTGGTAGTAGTAATACACTGGATTATTATCATTCTACAGCTAACAACTAATAAAGTGCAAACACTATTTTTTGTGCATTTTCCTACTTATTTTTCTTAAAATAATCCTCAGATATATCAATATTATGGGAGGGGAAGTGGAAGACAGGAGCTGTTAAGTGAGAATCCTCTTTTACTTGTTCTTTGTTTCCCCCAAGATTCTTAAGAGTAGTAGATATCTGACCTTTAGCTTTTAACCCCCTCTGCTCTCCTGAAATTGCTGTTGTTAAGGTCACTAGTCATCTCCTAATTGCCAAATCCAATGGTAATTTTTCAGCCCTGATCTTACCTGACCTTTCTGTGGTACTTGACACCATGCAATGAAACACTCCGTCCTCCTTGAAAGCTCTCCATCTTTAACCTTTTATGACCTCATCCTTCCCTGATTTTCTTCCTTCGTTTACAGGTTTATCTTCCATTAAATAAAGGTGCTTTCTGGGATTTTGTCTTTGGCCCTCTACATAGTGTTCTCGAGTGACCTTATTCATACTCATGGCTTCAGCTGTTGGGCCTGATCTCTCTCCTGAGCTCCAGACACGTGTCTCTGAGTGCTGGAGGACTTCTTTTGGATACTGTATAGGTATCTTTTACTCAACATGTTCCAAACTGAACCCTTCATCTTCCTTCCAGGAAACCTGCTATTCCTCCCTTTGTTTAAGGCATTGTCTTCTACCCAGTCACACAATTGACTTGACAGTCTTCCCTCTCTTGGTCCATCTACCCTACCCCACCCTAACTCAAACAGTGATCAAATGCTGTGTAATTTTACTCTCACATTCCTTCATTTCTTCCCATCCTCAGTACTACTTTCTTAGTTCAGATTCTATTATTTCTCAGCATACAACCATAACAGTGTCCTAACTAGTCTCCCTCCCTTCTGTTTTGCTTCCCTCCTTTTCACTGCTGCTAAACGCTCTTTCTAGAATTAAAATCTGATCATAAAAAAAGTCATTCCCAAGCTTAAACCCTTTCAATGGCTTTCCATTGTCTTTAGGATGAGATACGGTTTCTTTAGCATGGCATGCAAAGCTTACATGTCCTGCCATCCTTCTTCCAGGGCAGAGTGTACCCTGCACGCTATCCATATCAAACTTTTTTTTTTTTTTTTGGCGGTACGTGGGCCTCTCACTGTTGTGGCTTCTCCCGTTGGGGAGCACAGGCTCCGGACGCGCAGGCTCAGTGGCCATGGCCCACGGGCCCAGCCGCTCCGCGGCATGTGGGATCTTCCCGGACCGGGGCACGAACCTGTGTCCCCTGCATTGGCAGGCAGACTCTCAACCACTGCGCCACCAGGGAAGCCCTACTTATTGTATTTTGAGGATTAATCCATATCAGCCCATATAGACCTTTTTTTCCTCCTTGCTTATTATTTCATTGAATGGATGTACTATTATTTATTTAGCCAGTTCCCTATTGATGGACATTAAGGGTGCTGCTAATCTTTTGCTCTTACAAACGCTAAAATGAAAAACTTTGTTGTACACTTGTCGTTTTACATACGTATATCTTTAGGAAAAATTCTTAGGTGTGGAATTGTTGGATCAAAGGGTATGCATATTTGTAACTTTGATGGATAGTTTCATGCACTGCTTTAACTTTTTATTATGACTATTTCAAGCATATAAACAAGTATAGATGATCCTGTAGCATGTACATATGTATCCTCTACATATGTACCCACTACTCATTAAACAGGTGTTTTGCCGACACCCTCATCGAGGTTCTGTCTGCTAGGTGCTTTTAGTACCTCCTTAACATTGTAGAGCACTCCAACAGAATGTTATCTTAGACTCAGAGTAAGAAGTGTCTCAGAACTCATACCCTGCCATCCTAGAG